ACATGATTGGTCAACATCATTTAAATATGATCCAAATTCTGATAGGCCAACTGTAACTTTCACGTAACGAAGGGGAATAACTTTATTCCAAATTTTAAATACTGTGTAGAAAGAAGATGACTTGATTCCAAATGTTTGATGAGATCAATTGCTTTGTTATACGTTTTTTTCTTAAGACTGCACGCCAAATGATGGTTTGCTCATTTCTCATCCATTCCACAGTTGGAATTACAGTTGCCAAAGGGTTTATTTACAGAGAGTGTGGCATTAGTAGGGTTGGTCATGGTGGGCTTTGGACTGTCCCAACTTGAATGGTAGTGTATTGCTTTATACATAGGCCATCCCAGGTAGTGTTCCGTTGGGAACGCACGTTCCTGTAACATTTGCAATCGGGAAAAAAAGATTTCTGGCCTTCATTTTCCAGACCCTGTGTCTGAAGCACGGCAACTTGAGTGCAGAATTATTTGAAGTACTCCCCGAGAAGGTTAACTTTCTTTAGTTTTTCTTATCTTCGTTGTTCACCATGACATACAACTTACCATGCAATGAATTCAGTGTATTTCTGGACACCGGTAATTTTAATTCTGTTAATTTTAACGTCTGGACTCGTGAGTGTTTTATTCATTGTCAGGCTTGCGTGGTAGAGGGGTTTATCATCGCAATGTGTCCACACATGAGTTTTCCGTCTTATTACAAGCATCTTGGAAACCTAACCTGTGATCGATGGAGTGTGGGTGACGTCTTTAAAAATTACTAAAAAGGTTCAACAACACAACTGAGGCAATTAGAGCTCGACGTTGGTATTGCCTAGTGATGCGCACATCAACATGTACTTGCCTGCAGTCAGCACGTAGTGCTTTCTGCTTTTGTATTTCAGCCAAAAACAAAATTTCGATCATCGGATGAAAAATAATCGGCCACAATACATTTCCATCTTCTGTTTAATTTAAATTCTTATTCAAAATTAGGCCCATCATAAAACCCAAGTAGTTAACCTATCCTCGTTTTGTCACGGCAGACACCGTTTTTTGACGTTGGGCTAAGATTAGTAGGCCTACATGGGTGATATGTGTAGCTGGGGTCTGCATTGATACACCTTACTGCCTACGACCCAGAGTCAGCATATTGTGATCAGTGCCAGATCTTCCTTGGCACTACAGCCGCAAAAATATGCATCCACGCTATCAATATCATCAGCATTTCATCTGTAGCAGTTTGTGAAATAGGGACTGGTACAATCCTAGTGTATCGTACCAGCAAAATAATTTGAAGCACGGCACGGGAAAGTTGCTTTATAATTATTATTTTATCTTGCAGTGTTGAGCAATATTGTTGGCCATGATATTTCCCATAAGGCGCGTTTTTGTAATAGGAGAAAATTTGCATTACCCCAAGGATAATGCAGTAACATGATTCGGAAAAACAAGGACTTCTGCAGCAGAATCGGGATACACCGTCCAGTCTCAAAGGCTTGGGCTGCGTCGTTTCGTACGTCAAGAAACGCTGAAATAAAAGAAACAGAGGTATCCCTGAGAAGACAGTGACGCGTGACTGGTGATGAAATTGCACTTTCATTCCGTCCATGAGCATGCGTTTCCCAATGTTCGTGGCAACGACTCCAGGCGTAGAGGTGAGCAAAATCCTTGGGTTTGGTTTTATTCTCACCCAAGAGGACTGTTTTCATACACAATTGACTTTTCCCGCAGTTTTAACTACCCCTTTAAAATTCAACGAGTGAGTACTGTTTACCTCGAGACAAAAGCGGGCTCGCTGATGCACGTATTCGTTTTCCACTCTCGCCATCAAAAGTGCGTCTTCGAGTGTTTAAAATCGAGGAAATAACGGGAAATGATTACTGAAATCCACTGAATGGTGAACGACGTCTAACATTAAAGAAAGTGCAGCAAAACACTGAGCCAGGAAATGAAGCAATCATTCATCTACAACAAGATGCTTTCATCTCTTTTTCTTCGTAATGAATAGCCAGTGTTGTCCAGCCCGTTGATCTTACAGACGAACCGTCCGGGTAAGCGTTTGCAAAACATTTTTCATTGCGCTTTTTACCTGAAGTGCTGAAGTTGGCAGAGTCCTACGCTTCTCATCTTCATCTCACATGGAGGAGAACTCCACTTTTTTTTAACTTAAATTACGCTTTAATAGAAGTTCAAGTTCAGTTATGAAAATCCTTTTCCCCTTTCATGACATCATTTTGTATTATTGTAAAAAAGGAGAACTTAACTTTCTCACTATATTGGGTTCGTTTTCAATTCAGACCATAAGTCGAAGCATCCTGAATAAAAAAAACCCGATTTTTTTTTATCGTAAATATTTCATCTCAAGGGCACCTATTCAGCTTGTGAAGGTTAATAAATGCAATTTTTATGCGACGCATGTTCAGGCGTAAGCTGTAGACGTGCTTCCCCCATCAACTAGACCATGTCATTCACGCAAGTTATCAATACCCAACTGGGCACAACTGGCGTTGAACCCTTTCCCCCAAAAAACTACAAACATAGCAAAACTTTACACATGGAACGAAACAAACACCCCCCCCCAAAAATCAATAGAATATAAATCACAAAAATCAAAGAAGATAATTATGGTTATGTTTTGACTGAATTTTTCGCAAAAGAATTGGTCATCGTGATTCATTCGGTGCAGTACTTAGTCCAGGTCTGTGATTTTGTGATCAGTGTGGTTGGAGATGTCGCGCCTTCGGGTTAGTCTTGAGGGTTTGGCTCTTTGGCCTTCACTGGCATTAAACACGACCGATGAAGACTACAATTGCCCGTAATCGGCTTATCGTGCACTTTACAATTTGACAACAACGTAAAAAATCGATGTTGACTTGTCAAAGATGACCGTGAAATTGGCTAGGTTTTGGTTGACTATTAGCGTTCCAAAAGGTTCCACTATCAAAGGTAATGCTTATGCTCACATCTAAAAGATATTTATTTATTATTTGCATTTACATCTTAGAACACCTTACAAGAGCACTTTAACATACACCGAAAAGTAAAAATTTAAAATTAAAATCTGAAATGAAACCTTTTTATCTGTGATTTAAAATGAAAGTGAAAGCAATTGGGCATTGTGCAAATGTTAGGACACTCAGCTAAAGTTCACTGCAACAGAAAGTTTGATTCGAATACTACACACATGAACCGATGTCAGGCCTTTCAGTACTTTAGCTCCGTTTCACTGTGGTCGATGAGATTTAAACTAATGTGAACAAATCCAACTCCTAATTAACCATGCTGGTGCAGTTCCCATCCTACAGGTTTTACGCATGTAAAACTGTCAATTCAGATCTCATAACCAATCTTGCAGCAACAGTCTGAACATGCTGAAGTTTCTGAAACTGATAATCATAAAATCCCATAAAATAAATCGTTTCAATAATGTAATCCAGAAATAATAAATGCATGTATAAGTTCTCAGTGTTTTATTCATTGTGGATAGAGAAAAAAATGCCCGGCTTTACCCCATTTTGTCAAAATATTAAGTAAAAAGTCAAATGTGTTTCTCTCACAAAGATCTTTGGGATTAAAGGGAGGGATTATCTACTCACTGCATAAAGATGATAATAGAAAAAAACGAGTTTCTTATGCTTTCTTTTGAGGTTTTTTGGAGAGTGAGTTGAACTTCATTATAATGATAAAAATATTAATTATTATCTATATAGCGCATTGATCAATACGAAAACGCAACAGCTCAATGCGCTTAACATATTAAAATGGCGGAGAATGTAATGATTCCATAAAATATTATGCAGTCGACAAATGAAAAACGAAACACAAAGAATGATAAAACATTATAAGTAACATTTAATACACAGGATTAAAGAATAATCACCTAATTGATAAGCATGACGATAACAATTTTTTCCGGGCTTACTTGAAAGTGGGAAGTGACACTGAATTTGGAATAATATGGTCATTTATTCGTCAGGAAAGATGATTATGCGAAAGAGGCAAAACTGTCATAATGATTCAGCTAATATCGAAGCTGGACAAGGCGTGTTTGAATTGACGAATGTGTGACTAAATTGTTCTGTGAAACCATCAACGGTGATAAAATAAAGGTGCTACATCATGTAAGTTTTTGTATACACAATGTCAAATCTTAAACTCAATACGCTGAGCAACAGGAATACAGTAAGACGACGGAGAACAGGAGTGATATAGGCCTACCCGTATGTTTTAGTTTGAGTAACAAGGCGAGCAGCCAAATTTTTATAAGAATTGTAATCTGTGAATTATGTTATCAGGAAGGGCACGGGGAGAGCTAACTCAACAATTAAACCGTTATGTAATAAAAGCACGAATAAAATATTCGGTAGTGGCGCGATTATATTCAATTTCTTTAAAGTAAACTTTAATACGGTTTTGCACATTTTCCTGACATAAAAAAATAAGAATCTCCATGCATTCTAAAACAAGTTACTAACTGTGCAACACATTGAATTTGCTACTGGTTTGTCTGAAGATTTTGTAATCCATCACTCACAGAAATCAGCGACATTCTGTTTTGTATCGGAATGCAATGATTTTCTGCAGTTAACTGCCGGGTTCTCACCGGCATTGGTGGCCAATTTTGTTCACTTAAATAAAGCCGCTGCTGAGTTTCTGATGGACTCAACAGACATCTCAGCAAATATTCTTATTATTAAAACAAAACTCCTGTAGCATGTGCGTCATGCAAACTCCATCGGGGAGTTGTAAATTTAGTCAAATATGTACGTACCCGGTCATATTGGCGGGGACACTGAACTTCCAACGACTGTGCCGACATTGCACGAAGGCTGTTTGATTCGAAAGGTCCACTGGATTTGCAATCAGTTGCTCTTCAGACCTACCGAGGGTGGCGCAGAGGCTAGGGTCAGAGGCGAAAACGTTGTTAGCGGGAACCAATGGCAAGTCACCGTAAATGCACTTACCACAGCAGGTGCTTTGCGTGGTATAACCATACGGGTTCAATTGCCGTTGGACTGTCAACTGAATATCACGCACCACCGAGCTTGGCAGGCTATTAAATTGTCAGAGACATATCTGATCGCTGCAGATAATGAAGTCAATTCTCCTCAGTCCATTTACAAAGGTGAGTGTACGAGCTTGGACAGTTAAGCGGCGACGCACCTTCAGTTTGTCCAGTGAGGAATGATCGAGTTTGGACTGTTGGGACAGAACGGAGTGAAAGACGAACAGGCATAGCAACCCCGCGTACAAACAGCAATACACCATCGACTGCAAAATAAGGACCGGTCGGCGCTGAATTCCTGATAACCCAAGGCTCTAAAATGAGTGATATTTACGACATTTCGTCACTGTACAGTCTGGATGACGCATACAGCAAACCGATTTACTTTGAGGTGTTTATCTCAATCATCGTGTGGACCCTGTGGCTCCTATCTGGCGTAGGCAACGTTTTGGTCGTCATCATTTTCATGCGGGACCGCACCCTTCGGAACAAGGTAGCCAATCGGTACATCCTGAACCTGGCCCTGGCCGACCTGCTTGTCGGCTTCAACTCCCTGACTATCAAGAACATCTGGCGCTACTACGGCAACTGGCCCTTTGGTAAGTTCATCTGCAAGATGTACGTGATTGTCGACTACACCGTCGTCTGCCAGTCGTTCTTTGCAATCACACTGATCAGTTTTGACCGCTTCTTGCTCGTCACCAAAGAGCTGTCCTACAGCAAATACCAGACCAAGCGGATGGCCTGGACTCTAATCCTTTCCTCCTGGACCCTCTCGTTCGGTCTCTTTGGACTGCCTGTCCTGCTGTACGAGCCACTGACCGAGAAACCAGTCCTAAAACCGTACAACATTACCTGTTACCAGCATGTGAGCTACCTGAGAGATTACAACATCGCTATTCTGGTACTGACGTTCATCATCCCGTCAGCAGTCCTGGTTTTTCTTAATCTGGCCGTTTTCACCAATATCTACCGGCGATCCAAGGGTTTGGTGCGCACAAGGTCCCTGAACCTGACAGAGTCGACCAGCAACAGCGTGGATGAGCAGCAGTGGGCTAGTCCAAGAAACCGAGGGGACATTGGCCCAGCCCTTGAAACGAATCTTACCCAGGATTCGAGTGCTGGCGGCGCTGGGGTATCACCGGGAAACAGCGTGCGAGTGGCTAACTTAAGCACCCGAACGAAAATGGCGTCCTACCGGCGCCACTACAAGGCCGCGGTGACCCTGTCCATCCTGGTCGGCGTGTTCCTTGTCTGCGCCACTCCCCTCTACGTCTTTAAGTGTTTGCTTTCCTTCAGTGGTATAGACCATGATTGGATATGGTGGAACATTGTCGATTACATGACCTGGGCCAACAGTTCCATCAATCCGTTCCTCTACGCCGTTACTAACCCCAAAATGCGAGCGGGATATAAGAGCATTTTGTGTTTCTGGAAGAAATCACGCCCAACGCGAACTCTTGCGTTGTAATCAGCTCTGTCAGGTATCTGTCACTCTGTACCCCCGAAATTAATCAAATCTATTTATGTTTGATACAGTTAATCAACATTGGTAACATTTACCGTAATTTATGTTATTGCAATCTATCTCTGTCCCCCCCAAGAAAAACTCACGTATCAGCAGTTATGTTGCGTATTCAGTTTTCATTTGCAACGTGTTGAAACTCCCAAAGACGTTCAACTTCGGAACGTGTAGCTGTGACATACATATACTGCACAGAGAGCAACGTAACATATCCACTAGCCAATGCTCTACCCAAGCTCAAATTACCTATTGATTCTTTAAAACATGCAATCATTGTTTCACAGTGGCAAACTTCATAAGTATACTGATATTCTGCTACAATATAACGTTTAATCCGGTTAATTACACTTTTGGGGAAACGTAGGCTAACGATGTTATTACCACACGCAAAGGTTAAACACGAACCATAAACTACACCTTGAAAAAACTTGTCATGCCATTTATAGATCATAAATGCAGGGCCGGATCCAGCCAAATTGACCACAAATAAATAGATAAAGAAATGAATAAAACAAGAAAAGTAGGGAAGGGAAAAAAGAGAGGCCGTACTGCTTGAAACTGCATCAAAGAACGCCCACAAAACAAAACATGCCCCGTACCAACGCCGTAATGGCTTTGCGCTACGTGCTCAATGGCATTATACCATTGCTGCTTCCCCCCCCCCCAGAAAAATCCAGGATCCCCCCCCCCCCCCTTGGGAAAGTCCTGAATCCGCCTCTGACATGTACAACAGAATTGCGACGAAGTTAATATAAAACAGTATGAGATGAAAATGCCGTCCATATAGTTGGGAATCACATTTTATATTTGACCCCTTTTCTTTTCGGTATTACATGTATTTGCTCGTGTGAAACTGGTAGGATAACGAATGTGTGTGCTTAAAGTCAGGTATAATGCAAAATGCAGTTTAGGGAGTTAGCACATTTGCAGCTACTGGTATAGATTTCTCCGGTGACCTCCGCTCCGGACAAAATTTGAAAGTTCTATGGACATTCAAATACAAAATTTAAAGGCTTTATCAGTAACTGGACATTCGTCATTGTCAGTCGATGAAGTAAACTCAGATCAAATTTTTGCACTTTAATTGTGATGGTTTTTTGACTTTTCTGTTTATTTCATCAGTTGTATTTTCCAGAGCTGTTCTTTCATAGTGCATTGTAACCTTGTTAAAAAACCGCTTTATAAGTGCTTGTGTTATTGTTATTATTATTATTTTGACAGAGCATTGTGATGGTACCCCAAGTTGTAGAACATGCACCAAACTTCAAAGAAAACCCACTTAAACCTGTTCTTCAGAATTTATTTCCTCTTATCGACACTAACCTCTTACGTTATAATGATGTATATATTACCAAATGATACGTGCAGCCAAAGACAGTTGTCAACAACATCCAGGGAGTATAATTGGTATATTTTCAGGACCTTATTTACAATTATTCAGCCGCGGTTCTCCTTACCAACCCATTTTGTAAAATCGCCACAAATTGTTAATTTCTCAATCAACGATACGTTGTACGCGTTAATATTCTTTGCCCTCGCATGACAGGACGAGATATCCATCAGCATTGCCTTAAGCTAGACGTCCGTCACCCACGAGTGGTGATTACCTTAGTGGAAAACGTGGTCCTCCTACATAACGTGAGCTTACACTGTCTTTACTGGACAGGAGTGTATTTACTTTGTTGGCGGTTCGCGTTGACTGTCACAGAGATCACTGTTTTGTATTCAGCAGAGAAGTGAGCCATGATTGCCAAACAAATACAACACATTCGCTGTGCCGGAAAACGGCCGTTTGTAAGTAGCCTATACGCTTTTTGTAGAAATGAAATGTAAACTGAAATGTGAACTTAAGGCCAGTTCGTACTCGGCGCGAAAACAAACGCGAAATTGTGAGGGCAGATCAAATATTAATTCTCCTTGCAAATTTGCTTTTTGAACACATTTCAACTCGGGATTCAAATTTTGTAGACTCAAATTCGCTCCGTTTTTGCATTTGTCTGAAGTATGAACCAGTCTGTTTTATTGTTTTGGCAAAATGATTGTGATCAGCAAAATGTGCCTTGAAACAAATTCAGACAGAATCAGTGTTTACAAACTGAAATTGCGAGTTTGCAAATATTTTAAATCCTTTTTTCAATGACACAAAAAGGGTATATTGGGGTTGTCCACGTTCGTGGAACTGTTGGTTTTAATACGTTTGAACAAAAAATATCAAGACGTTCTAAGGGGTCCTCAAAACGTGGCTACACTAACACATTGCTTAGACACGTTAGCGCACTTTCCAAACGGCAATAGTCAGTACGAGGGACGTGAATAACAGGAACATGGCGGTATATACCCCTTCCCCTTTTGGACCACGGGGATGCATTGGCTATCAAATCACCCCCAACCCACACAAGTGTGTATTTGCCTGCAACTGGGGACCCCCTATTGTTCCTCTTTTGTTTGTACTTTAACTTTTTTAGAAGACCCTCCATATGTTTTGTACACAGTTGTCAATCGGGGACCCTCTGTCAATCGGGGACCTTTTTGTCCTCTATTGTTCAGGGTCCCCAATTGAATGCAGAAACAAACTCACATACACTCACATACCCACACAAACTTTGTCTTGGTAAGAGGGGGAAATGTAAATTTTGAAAGTTTTTCGAAATGTATTCAGTGCTTTTAAAAAGAAACAACGAGTAAAAAGTTTAAACTATTACATTTTGTAATGACGGTGAACGTATACATAAGACGTGTACATCTGTATCATAAACAGTGCCTCAAGTGTCGTTCAATGCGGCACTTGGATTTGGTTGTTGCACTAAGTCAACCTCGGCTTTGCATTGTTAGTTTCTGTCAATATAACGAAGCTCTTAAAAAGTTTTTCAATTACAACCGATGCAGCTTCACTCTGTAGCAACAACGGAATGAAATGAAGGAGAGAGTGGAAGTTCAGCGACATCCTTGATGGGGAATGACAGCTGCACCGTTGTAAAAACACAACCATCATTTGCTGCTAATTGAATTTTCGTACCAGGGGAGTCATTAATGACCATAATTTATGATTTATCTTTGAAGGTTTAATGCGTCCCTATTACGAATATCGAGGTATCAGTAACGTACATTGTAAACGTGTCCCAGAAACCTTTAATATGTTTGTGTAAGTGACATGTCTTCGCAAAATAAAATTTAATGTTGCACATCAAACGCATGTCATTCTTTTTTTTATTAAATACTGAACAAAAACTGAAGGGTTAAAATTTGCAAACACCAATGAGCAGACTTTGAAGAAATTGTAATTTTCAGCTTATCAACACTCTCATGAGTCATATTTCCAATGTTGATAATATGGAATGCAAACGTAGGTGTGAGTTAATCAAAACCAATGTCGCACAATGAGCCAGAACGCAATCAAAATGCGCCAAAATAGGTGCTTAGTGAACGATTTTTTTTCAATTTGTGGATGTTTTCAGGAAAGGTTAGATCCCCACGGATGTTGAGAATATTTTACCGAGCAATGACGTTTCAGTATTTTTTAATTTTTTTTCCCGAGGAAAATGAAGAAACAGGGCTTGAAAGCAGAATTCAGTGCACATATTCAATCCAATTATTTCAGCATGTAGGGCATATAGTTATTTTTCTTTAACCGTTATAGCGAAATATCAGGTTTTTGAAATGTTGCAAATTCTTTCCAATGTACAAAAGTCGTAGATATTGTCTAAATATTAAAAAAATACTGTTTTTGTTAGTAAACGCAGACATTATTGTTCCTGGGGATTCGAGCTTATTTTTTTTTTTCTGCTGGCGTCATTCTACGATGTCCTCTTTTATTTCAATTAATACCAAATCTAGCTGCCGCCTTCCGCCAACCTTTGAATAACGATGTGTTTCTCGAGCGTCCCCGTTTCTTTGCTATTTTGACAGAGAGGCCTAAAAATGTTTACAATACGAGTTTCTGGCCTTCCACCCGATGAGAACTATTCTGCTGTACGCAAGGGGGCATTCGGTTTGAGACTGCATGTAACTTAAAATGGACAGTTTTACCCCAGAAACATCGTAGTGAATTTGATTCTTTTCAATGGAAAGAAGTTTTATCAAGAATATCCTCGTGTTCTTTTTATGTCACTGATAATTTGATTTATAACAATAAAAGATGGCATCCATATGAAGATAACAATTGTTTGAACTAGTGCATTCTGCAACTAGTGCATTCATCACTGACATTGATCTGTCGTGCCAAAATGCATGGATTTCTATTACTGCACCAGTGAGTCTAATATGTAGGTTGACCTTCGTCGACAGACAACCAAGGCAATAAAGGGTTTTCTCTATAGAGAAAGAGCTAAGTGGCTCAAAACAAGCGCAAGAAGAAAACATTCCTGCATAACAATGCTAACTGATTGGACAACATAATATCATTCCCTGATGAAGTTGAATTGTTGTTAGCCCAGGGTGCTCTCAGAAATGGTCCTTTCATCTCGGCTGTGCCTGGTGCATCAAAGCAGCAACCAAGTTTGGGGCGTCCTTGCCAGAATTGGTAATTACTTTCGAACAAATCACAGCAAAGAAGCGCACAGGAGTTTTTCACAAAAAAAAGAAACCCACGGAACTGCTGTATGCAGCATCGCAGGGATTATACAAACAAAACCCAGACCTGAAGTATCTGCTTCAGTTTCCAATGATTTCACCTTTAATTAAGACCTACTAAAACGAGAAAACTAATTTCTAAGACGGTCAAAAAGCCGGAACCTTTTACGGCAGATGAAGCCTTGTCACTCATGATCGAAACCAGCATGACAAAACAATCCTATCAAACTATGCGATCAGCAGCCCAGAAAACCCAAACATCTTACCACCGTACAATGAGTGTGAGGCAGACGAAAGGAAAAACTTTTCTCCAACAAAATGAATGCGCGGCAAGACTAGGCAAAAGTGCTTGTACAAGATCTACTGGATCACACTGCTCTAAGGATCATTCATGGAATTTAGATCATC